AACATAAACCATGATTCAGTTGTCCTTCATATGCATCGAAACACAGAGCATAACAATATCGATAATAAGAAGAAAATTACTATTATTCTTAATCAAAAGACAATAAATTTATTATTTATTATTATTATTTTATTAATAATCTGGATGACTTTGTGTACATGGCAAATAAGCCATATACTAGTTCCACCTTTGGCAAGGGGTTTGATTTAGGATCCTAGTAACATCTTGTGATTCCTACATCAACTATGCAAATTAGAGTGTTGTAAGAGACAACATTTGGGTAGACTCCTTGATCTATCACTTTTTCAAATAGAGAAAGTAATTCTTCCCAATTACCCATGTTGCAGAGTCTACTAATGATTGGAATTAATTGTAGCGTGTGGGGAGAAGCCAAAATGGCGGCAACCCCAGCCACTCATAACACTGACCAAGTTGGGAAGGAAAAGAATCCACCACCTTGATTGCCATATTACAATATCGTAGAATGAAAGCAAAACTTACAGCAACCAACTTCCTGAAAAGAGCCCTTATAATGTAACAAGACCCGCACGAGAGCATAAATGAGCTTACCATGTAGAGCCTCAATGAGCACTTTAGCATCGGATTCTACAATAACTTTCCTCCACCCATGTCGAGTCACCACCTCCAAAGCTCTTCTAATAGCCTACACTTCAGGCATGGCACTACAGTCACATGGACTGAGCCCCTGACAACCCCTCGCCTTGAACCAACCATGGTTATCTCGAAACACCTACCCAAAAGTGCAAGCTGATTGAACCGAGGACAACCACCATCACAATTGGCCTTCGCAACTCCATGCCCAGGCCGTTGCCAAGAAGGTACGGAGGTGTCTTCAACTCCAAACAGCAAGTAGCGGAAAATAAAGTATGTCGTTATGCAGTATAGTTGAATTGGTTTTATTTGGATTGCATCCTGACTAGATTGGCAGCATAATCCCTAAAATTAGGATATCAAAATCCATCTAACATGTTCCATGAAATTAAGGAATCCAATTACATCAATTAGAAGTTTAATGGCATATGACCGCTATGTGCAATTTAAATTTCATACCATGTAAAGAGATTCAGCATGAAATAATTCGCATTAGAGGAGTCAAAAGCTTATTCTGCAGATGCAACATGCCTTCTACAACGGAAACCTTTCAAAGTTTTTTGTGTCTCTAGATCAGACATCAATCCTTTTTGGATCATTTCTTTAGCATGCCTCAAAGCTTCACCCATTCTTTTATCTTGCACATAACCATTCACCAAGGCATTATAGCAAGAAGCAATATCAGGCACATGACCCAGAGCCACCAAGAAATTAAAGACCTTCTTTGCCTTATCCATCCTGCCAAACAAACAGTATTCATTAACCAACATACTGCAAGATATTGTGCTAAGCTCCATACCATACTTAATTTTTGCCTCAAATACTTTGCGAGCCTCCTCTGTCATCCTTACTTGGCAGAGAGCATCCAAAAGTGTTCTCAACGTTATGGCATCAGGTAAGATCCCTCGACCTACCATTTCATCAAACAACCTTGTGGCTTCTCCCGATTGAGCTGTATGGCACATGCCATATATTAAACAGTTGTAAGTGACAATGTCAGGTTTTAGACCTCCTTCAGCCATTAGCTCTAGCACAGTGAGGGCTTCATTGGTCCTTCGTTCCTTGCAAAGATATTTTATAACAATGTTAAGGGTTACAACATCTGGTGGGATTCCTTCCCCCATCATTTTATTCAACAACTTTGTGGCTTCTCTCCATTGGCCAGAATGGCACAATCCATCAATTAAGGAGTTGTAAGTCACAAGATTAGGCATTTGACCTCTACGGGTCATTTCTTCCACAAGATTAAGTGCCTCTACCGTTTTCCCATCCTTGCACAAAGCACCCAACACAGCGGTGAATGTTACAATATCAGGCAGGGATCCACAATCAATCATGTTTTGAAATAACTGTGCGGCTTCTTCCCATTTGCAACATTTGCATGAAGCAGAAATTAAGGAATTGAAAATGACAACATCAGGATTTATGCCTTTCCCAGTCATGTCTTCGAACAGAGCAAGCGCTTCTTGAATTCTTTCTTCTTTGCAAAGAGCACTGATTAGAACACTGTAGGTATATACATCTGGTGAAATTCCACTATCAACCATGTTTTGAAATAACTGTGCGGCTTCTTCCCATTTGCAACACTTGCATGAAGCAGAAATTAAGGAATTGAAAATGAAAACATTCAGGATATATGCCTTTCCCAGTCATGTCTTCGAACAGAGCAAGTGCTTCTTAAATTCTTTCTTCTTTGCAAAGAGCACTGATTAGAACACCGTAGGTATATACATCTGGTGGAATTCCACTGTCAACCATGCAAATCAAGAAGCTCTTGGCTTTTTCCCACTTGCCTGATTGGCACAATCCATAAATTAGAGTATTGTAGGTGACAACATCTGGGTATCCTTTCTCTTCAATTTTCCGGAACAACTCCACTGCCTCAGACAGGGAGCTATTCTTGCAAAGCCCTTGAAGCAAAGCATTCAGTGAATAAGCATCAGGCTCAAGACCATATTTAAAGGTAAGTGCTAAGACCGAGAAACCCAAGTCCACCCTGTTCAGACGGCACAAGCAATTCATGAAAATATTCATTGTAGTGACATCAGGTTGGAATTGACGACAACCCATCAACTGTTTATACATAGATACTAGGGCAGAATATTGCTTCATCTTGTAAAGTGCCCCAAACAAACATTTAAAAGTCCAATTAGAGGGAATGGATTTCGTTTGAATCATGGAATTGAAGTAACCCAATGCTTACTCTGACTTAAGTGTTCCAGATTTGCACCGTGTTTGAATCAGAGTCTCCATATCACTAACATTATTACCAGCATCGGAATGAAATTTGTTTATACCAAAATGAACAGCCAATAAACATCGTCCACAGTCCCACATCGAAACTCTAAACAAATTGCACACCTCCCAAGGTCTATAAAAGAGGACAACCATCCCAGTTTGGAAGTAATCAATCAGAACTCACGGCATACTGCCTATTGATCTGTAATTCAAACTTACTAAATCCGTACTTACTTAAGCATCGGAGAGCCCTCGGCTGGTATCACACCGGTACCTAGGACTTACCGAGCGTTTGCTATCTTACAGGTATAACTCCCTACCGAGGCCATAGCATACCGAAGGAAAACAAAATCACTAAGTTACGCGGGAAAGTGCCAAACCATTTTTCTGCGTCAACAGTTTGGCGCCGTCTGTGGGAAACGATAACAATCAACCTACAATTCCTAAAAAATGTATGGGAACCACTTCATGACCACAGTTCCTATCGAAGGATGGATTACCGTACGGTATGCCAAGTGGAGCAAGCTCCGCGCTGCACCCTAGTACCCCCTTCGGTAATCCTCCAGTGCTTCAGACCACGGTCGAAGCAGAGCTTCTGGCTCAAATGACCTCCCTTCGGAGGGAAATGGCTAAGCTCCAAGAACATAACAATCTCCTCTTGTCGAAAGTAGACGAAACACAGCGGTTGCTTAACCAGCAAGAAAAACAGAGCATTTAACGCCCGCCTGTGGGACTCGCGGATGAAGGTCCTGGGAGATAAATCGCCCCTTAGGAAGGTCCGGGGTTTGGATTCGGGGTTGGAATCTGACGATGAGTACGTCCCCACCAAGGGCACCGAATCAAACTACTGTTCGGAAACTCCCCCGGAGTATTCGAAGGCAAGACCACCAAGTCCGAGGAGAACTTCTGAAGACTTCAGTTCCGAGGAGGTCCCAAGCCGAGACCCCGCTATCCGTCTGCTTTTCCAGAAAATTCAAAAGATGGAAGATGACCAAACCCGGTCCTAGGTTCCTGACTGGGGAAAACTTCGGCCAGGACCCTTCACCGAGCGCATCAAGAAGTCCAGACAGGACAGGGAGGTGCAGCCGTTGCGTATACCATTTTATACCGGCGTGGAGGACCCTTTGACACACCTTCACTCCTTCCAATCGGCAGTTGGGTGCAAGGGCCTCAGCGACGAGGGACAATGCCTGCTGTTCCCATCATCCCTTACCGAAGCCACTCTTCTCCATTATATAAATTTTCAAAACCTTGTTAAGGGATTTAATTTTAGCACTTAAAGATTCAACATATGATTCAAACTAATTCATCATCGCCCAGCCTCACTTGATGGAGACTTTATTCTGCACATGAAACATCTCTCGATATTTTTGCGCCATATGAAACCTTTTAATAAGACACTAGCTCTAACATGGTGAGGAGGGGTTCCTTGGTCCTTCTCTCCTTGCAAAGAGCATGTTTTTTTTTATTTCTTTTTTTTTTTCAATCAAAAGTGATAAACTGATCATGAATAAAATAAAATAAAAACTTATTACACTTCATGAAAGGGAAATTGCAACATAAACCATGATTCAGTTCACCTTCATATGTAGG